CTGTTTACATCTCCTAGACTAAGTACTTTACATTTGTCCACATTAAATTTCATCTGCCATTTTTCAGACCACTCGATTTTTTTTTTAGATCTTCCTGTAGTTTTGCGGAGTCCTCGTCAGATTTAATTACACGCCCTATTTTAGTGTTGTCAGCATATTTATTTGTGTTGTTGTCTACGCCTACGCAGTATCTATGTCGTTTATGTATATAATAAATAATAATGGTCCAAGTACTAAGCTTTGGGGTACTCCACCAGTGACGTTAATCGGATTTAGTGCCGTTAATGCTTACTCGCTGTTTCATGTCCTGTATCCACGCCCTAATCCATTTTAGAATATCTCCTCCAATGCCATGAGCCTCCACTTTTAGTAATAGTCTTTAGTGGGGACTCTGTCGAAGGCTTTGCTAAAGTCGAGGTATACCACATCATAATCGTGCCCGTTGTCCACTGCTTGGAAAACAGCTGAAAGAATGTTAATAGAAGAGCTGATACCTAAGTAATTGTCACTTACTCCAAGGGTGATTAGGGGGATGGGGTGGGACCTCTATATAAGGTGTCCATCTACGACGGGGTTGTATTTATGAACCAATGAATAACTGATGCATTGTAATATAATTTCATAAGAATCATCATAGTAATAGTGTATTGAATAATAAAAATATACCCAGGAAGTTGTCAAACACAATTATTTTAAATAACAATACCATAAAAATCAGGGAGCAGAAGTTCCATCTGTATTCTGTCTTTTTTTTTTATACAGATTACTATCTGTCTGTTGTCTACTGGACGGTGAGGTGAGGTGAGGTGAGGTGCCGTTGGGAGAAGGGGGTAGGGTGTATCTACAGGAGCTCTTCATATAAACATCCCACTAATCATTATCTTTGAGATATTTGTTTTAATATTGTTTTAATTTGATTCCATAGTGTGTTTACTATTGAGAATTTCCTTCTGTCGAATGTAAACAAACACAGGGCTGCCACACTGCACCAAACCTGACGACCCGCTGTAAACGCACTAGTGAAGGGGACTGTACACTATAGTAGGGTATGTGAACTACTATAGTAGTACATGTACACAATATATGTACATAGTAATAATAGTACACGTACACTATAGTAGAACATGTACACCATAGAAATACATGTAAACCATAGTAGTATACATATACTATAGTAATACATGTACACTATAGTAGTATTGTACACTATAGTAGTACTTGTACACTATAGTATTACTTGTACACTATTGTAGTACATATACACTATAGAAGTACTTGTACACTATTGTAGTACATGTACACTATAGTAGTACTTGTACACTATAGTAGTACTTGTACACTATAGTAGTACTTGTACACTATAGTAGTACTTGTACACTATAGTAGTACATATACACCATAGTAGTACTTGTGCACTATTGTACTACATGTACACTATAGTAGTACATTTACACTATAGTAGTACTTGTACACTATTGTAGTACATGTACTCTATTGTAGTACATATACACTTTTAGTAGTACATATACACTAGAGTAGTACTTGTACACAATATTAGTACATATACACTATAGTAGTACATATGCAGTGTAGTGGTACTTGTACACTATAGTAATGCTTGTATGCTATAGTAGTACATATGCACTATAGTAGTACTTGTATACTATAGAAGTACATGTACAATATTGTAGTACATGTACAGTTTAGTAGTACTTGTACACGATAGTAGTACATGTACACCATAGTAGTACATGTACGCTAAAGTAGTTCATGTACACAATAGTAGTACACGTACATCATAGTAGTATATGTATGCTATAGTAGTACATGTACTGTACACTATAGAAGTACATGTACACTATAGAGGACATGTACACCATACTAGTACATGTACAATGAAAAACAAAAGTCGTGTCGTGAAATTTGGTGACAACATATGCCGAAGGGCTAAACTATTGGTGCGCTCTGCCTTGTGGTGGGGGGCGGGGCTCTCATAATGTTTCACAGTTATATTTAATCTTCGGACAAAACCGCGACACGACTTTTGTCTTTGATTGTACAATGTACACTATATTCGTACACAAACACTATAGTAGCACATGAACTGAATAATATTACATGTACTTTATAATATAGCATGTACACCATAGAAGTATAAAACAATAATAATAATAATAATGATAATAATGATAATAATGATAATAATGATAATAATAATAATAAACGATTTATTAATAGAGTTGCAGCCGGTGGCTGAAAATATACAAACTTACATTTGATTTAGACATAATGATATAATATGCGTTCAATACATTTACAGGGCTGTACAGTACATAAATCAGGAGTTGTTTGTTATTTTAACAATAGATGGGATGGTGCTATTCTTATATCTATCAGTGAGGGCTCTTATAGGCTGAATTTTGTTGTAGTGGTGGACTGCGAGAGGTGGGTGAGGGACTGCAGGTGGCAGTAGGTGGCGATGGCGAGGATGGTGCAGTAGTCCACTGCCAAACCTTGCTAGTGCTTGGTGGTGGAGGTCACTGAGGGATGGCATTTCCAGGGTGGAGAGAGCGTTGATGTAGCCGGAGTAGTTTGTGCCGAGCATAATTCTGCAGGCCCTTTTCTGTACCTTCTCTAGCTGACGTTGTTGGGTAGAGTTGAGAGAAGACGACCAGGCTGGTGACGCATACGTTAATTTGGGAGAATAAAGGCGTTGTAGATGGTCCTCAGCTCTGGCGTGGGTGTCCCAAGTGACCTAAGTCGTCGTAGCATGTCGAGTCGGTACGAGGCTGCCTTGATTGTGTTGTTTACATGGGCCTTCCAGTCCAATTTGTGGCCTATGGTAACACCCAGGAGTTTGGCAGACTGCACTAACTGGAGAGGATGGGCACCCACTGTGACTGCTGGAGCTTGCACTGGAGTGGTGGCGGTATTGATGTGCATGACTACGGCTTTGGTGTGGTTGATGGTGACCTTGTTCTCCGTAGTCTATGCCTGTAGCCTGTCCAGGGTGCATTGTACCGATGAGTAGTCCGGTGCGGTGTTGCCCACTGTAACCCCACAGTGCAGCATCCACGTACGTCCACCTGTGAGGAATGTCCGATAGAGCGTCGTTGATCAGGATGAGGAAGCATCTTGGTCTCCTGGGGAACACCGCAGGTGGGGTGTTGGAATGTGGAGACAGAGCCCTGGTACCTGACTGCTTGCCGCCGTTCACCCAAGAAATCAGTGAGCCATGAGACCAGGTTGGTGGGCAGCCCTAGTGCAATGGCCTTGTTGATAACAGTGCAGTGATCAACAAGGTCAAAGCCTTCCTGAAGTCCACAAGGGCAACGGCCAGTGATGTCTTATGTTTCTGCAGGTTTTTGTGCAGGAAATCCAGGAAACTAACTAAGCAGTGTGATGTAGAGGAGGTGCTCATATTGCCTAATTGCTGTGGATCAATTGACTAAATGAGTACATGTACACTGCAGTAGCACATTTACACTACAATAGTACATACAGTACAGTACAGTAATAGAATATAGTACAATAGTACAGCACAGCACATTACAGTGCAGTACAGTGCAGTGCAGTACAGTGCAATGCACAGCACAGTACAGCACAGCACAGCACAGTACAGTACAGCACAGTACAGTACAGCACAGCACAGCACAGTACAATACAGCACAGTACAGTACAGTACAGTACAGTACAGTACAGTACAGCACAGCACAGTACAGTACAGTACAGCACAGTACAGTACAGTACAGTACAGTACAGTACAGCACAGCACAGTACAGCACAGCACAGTACAGTACAGTACAGCACAGTACAGTACAGCACAGTACAGTACAGTACAGTACAGTACAGTACAGTACAGTACAGTACAGCACAGTACAGTACAGTACAGTACAGTACAGTACAGCACAGTACAGTACAGTACAGTACAGTACAGTACAGTACAGCACAGTACAGCACATTACAGTAAACTCAAGTATTTGTTTTTGTTGTTACACGAAGTTGACAGAATTAGGTTTACGAGTGTAATTAAGTGAACAGGTAAAACACTTTTATCACGAAGACCCTCTCGCCCCGCTGGCCCCCCTCACACCCTCTTGGTACCCTTCACCCCTTCTTGGCACCCCCTCCTAGCACCCCTCACGCCCCTGGCCTCCCTCACCCCCTCCTGGTATCCCTCACCCCTTCCTGGTACCCCTCACCCCCTCCTTAGCACCCCTCACTAACTCCCCCTCCACTTCCTCTACCCCTCCCCACCAGCTCACCACATAATCCTCAATACCCCCATCAATCCTTCAACTCCTCCCACCACCTCCAATCATTGCCTCACCCCCCATTACGACATCCCCCCTTCCACCTTACCCTCCCCCTCCCTCCACCACATCACCTTCATAAGCCCCAGCATGCCCTCCTCCCCCCCCACCTCCTTCCTCACTACCTCACCTCCCACCCCCTCCCCTCTCAACCCCCTCGCCCTCCTCAGCCTCAGTACCCCCCCCCTCACCTCCACCACCTGTTACCTCATATAATTAACCTCCTCACCACGACACTATCACCACCAACAAGAAACTTTTAGGTTTGTTAATAATCATAACTAACAAATCACGTATTCTCTCTATGTCGCTCTTAAATTATGTAGTTTTTGTCGTGTATATTTTAAAACAATCTAAAATATTTTGTGTATTTCGTAAGGTAAAGTTTGGATATTTTCCACATGTCTTTCTAAAATAAGTTAGGGTATTTTTTATGTTTACCTTAAAATACACTTTGCATAAACATTCTGATATTTTTCGTTATTTTTCTCCCTACTTTTAAACCAACTTTAGCACGAGGTAGTGACAACAGCTAATGCCACATACAACAACACGCCGTCATTACCGCTCCTGACTCACCAATTTAACACTAATTTAGAGGTAGATGTTGTTGGCCCAGATTGCTTGCATTCTGGCTCCTGGACAAGTAGTAGGAAATGTTCTCACTGGACAAGGTATGGGCAAAATATGGGCAAGATATGGGCAAGGTATGGGCAAGATATTTTCCGAGATTAGAAAGATTTTACACCCTGGGGAAAACGTGGGTAAGGTGAGGGCAAGGCAAGGTGGGCAAGGTGAGAGCGTGGAGTGGGTAGTGCATGGGTAGCAGATTTTCCCTAAAAAGCAAAGAATTGACCCAGTGGGCAAAGCGAGGGCAAAACATTGTCGCCATGTGGGCAAAAAATATTTTCCCTACATTGGAAAGAATTTACCCACCGGGCAAGACGTGGGTAAGATATGGGCAGGGATCATTACCCTAGTCATTCCATCCTAAGCACTTATTGTACCTTCACTATCGCTGCCAAACAAACTCATTACCGCTTCCCGCATTCTCCTCGCTATCGCCCGCTCATCTGCCGACGAAGGGAGGAATATTGTGTTACCTGGACACTGTACGGTGGTGCCAACTATGTTTAGACGAGCAGTTCAGAGACTCGTTCCAGTAGTTCAGAGACTCGTTCCAGTAGTTCAGAGACTCGTTCCAGTAGTTCAGAGACTAGTTCCAGTAGTTCAGAGACTCGTTCCAGTAGTTCAGAGACTCGTTCCAGTAGTTCAGAGACTCGTTCCAGTAGTTCAGAGACTCGTTCCAGTAGTTCAGATACTCGTTCCAGTAGTTCAGAGACTCGTTCCAGTAGTTCAGAGACTCGTCTCCAGCAGTTCAGAGATCAGTTCCAGTAGTTCAGAGACTCGTTCCAGTAGTTCAGAGACTCGTTCCAGTAGTTCAGATACTCGTTCCAGTAGTTCAGATACTCGTTCCAGTAGTTCAGAGACTAGTTCCAGTAGTTCAGAGACTCGTTCCAGTAGTTCAGAGACTCGTTCCAGTAGTTCAGATACTCGCTCCAGTAGTTCAGAGGCTCGTTCCAGTAGTTCAGAGACTCGTTCCAATAGTTTAAAGACTCGTTCCAGTAGTTCAGAGGCTCGTTCCAGAAGTTCAGAGACTCGTTCCAATAGTTTAAAGACTCGTTCCAGTAGTTCAGAGACTCGTTCCAGTAGTTCAGAGACTCGTTCCGGTAGTTCAGATACTCGTTCCAATAGTTCAGAGACTCGTTCCAGTAGTTCAGAGACTCGTTCCAGTAGTTCAGAGACTCGTTCCGGTAGTTCAAATACTCGTTCCGGTAGTTCAAATACTCGTTCCAATAGTTTAGAGACTCGTTCCAGCACTATGGGACTCGTTCCAGTAGTTCAGAGACTCGTTCCAGCAACTATGGGGCTCGTTCCAGTAGTTCAGAGAACCTGTTCCAGTAGTTCAGAGACCGTTCCAGTTCAGAGACTCGTTCCAGTAGTTCAGAGACCTGTTCCAGTAGTTCAGATACTCGTTCCAGTAGTTCAGAGACTCTGTTCCAGCAACTATGGGACTTCCAAGTTCAAAACTCGTTCCAGTAGTTCAGAGACTCGTTCCAGTAGTTCAGAGACTCGTTCAGTAGTTCAGAGACCTGTTCCAGTAGTTCAAAGACTCGTTCCAGTAGTCAGAGACTCGTTCAATAGTTTAGAGACTCGTTCCAGTAGTTCAGAGACTCGGTAGTTCAGAGACTCGTTCCAGTAGTTCAAATACTGTTCCGGTAGTTCAAATACTCGTTCCAATAGTTCAGAGACTCGTTCCGGTAGTTCAAATACTCGTTCCAATAGTTCAGAGACTCGTTCCGGTAGTTCAAATACTCGTTCCAATAGTTTAGAGACTCGTTCCAGCACTATACTCAAGACTCCTGAATGTTTTTACGTGATGTTTATGATATTTTTTTTAATCAACTGTTAATTATTTCTGAAAGGTGTTCATTATACAAGTTGTATAATCATTTGAAAGCAGTAGGTAGTAGGCAGCTACCAAACAGGGAGGTACTACCGCCGGGGAAGATATTGGAAGCATAATGTGTTGTCTAATGGTAGACCCTGCTGCCATATGTGACCAAATCCCAGGTTGATGATCTGACTTTCTGCCTCATTTACACACAATTGCAGGGTCTCAATTGTTTCCCTTACTATTGACAACACAACTGACATATAATGTTTCACTTCTGATCTTTTTTTTATTTTTGTAATTATTGTTCTTTATATATATTAATATTATTATTATTATATATATTATTATTATTATTATACATATATATATTATTAGTAGTAGTAGTAGTAGTAGTACACCTACCTACACAGACTTGAGCTCAAGCAAAGTGAGTTGTCCTGGTACACACTCCTACCCGGTACAAACTCCTCCTCCTGAGACACCCTACCCTCACCGGGACACACTCCTCCCGGTACACACACCTCCTGGTACACACTCCATCCTTCCCGCACACATTCCGTCCCTCCCGTCACACTCCTCCCCGGTACACACCTTCAATCCCGGTACACACCTTCAATCCCCGGTACACATTCCGTCCCTCCACGGTCACACACTCCATCCCTCCCCGGTACACACCCACCCTGGTACACACCCGTCCCTCCCCTGTACACACCCGTCCCTCCGGTACACACCCGTCCCTCCCCAGTACACACCCGTCCCTCCCCGGTACACATTCCGTCCCTCCCCGGTAAACACCTGTCCTCCCCGGTACACACCCGTCCCTCCCCGGTACACACTCCGTCCCTCCCCGGTACACACCGTCCCTCCCTGGTACACATTCCGTCCCTCCCCGGTACACACTCCCTCCCTCCCGGCACACTCCTCCCTCCCTAAGCACACTCTCTCCCTGGTACACACTCTCCCCTGGTACACACTCCTCCCTCCCTCCCCTGGTACACACCTGTCCCTTCCTGGTACACATTCTGTTCCTCCCGTGCACACTCCCTCCCTCCCCTGGTACACACCCGTCCCTCCCTGCACACACCTGTCCCTTTCCGGTACACACCCGTCCATCCCCACACATTCCGTCCCTCCCTGGTACACACCCTCCCCTCCCCGGTACACACTGTCCCTCCCCGGTACACACCGTCAGTCCACGGTACACACCTGTCCTCTCCCCAGTACACTCTCCTCCTCCCCAGTACACACTCCCTCCTCCCCGGTCACACACTCCGTCCTCCCTGGTCACACACTCCTCCCTCCCCGGTACACACTCCGTCCTCCGGTACACACCTGTCCCTCCCTGGTACACACTCCTTCCCTCCCCGGTACACACCGTCCCTCCCCGGTACACATTCCGTCACTCCCCGGTACACACACCCCTCCTCCCCGTACACACTCCCTCTCCCTGGTACACACTCCTCCCTCTCCGGTACACACTCCGTCCCTCCCGGTACACACCTTCCCTCCCCGGCACACACTCCTTCCCCCCCTGCACACATTCCGTCCCTCCCCACACACCCCTCCTCCCCGCGTACACACTTCCTCTCTCCCTGGTCACACACTTCTTCCCTCCCTGGTACACATTCCGTCACCCCCAGTACACACTCCTTCCCTCCCGGTACACTCCTCCCTGGTACACATTCCGTCCCTCCCTGGTACACACTCCCTCCCTCCCTGTACACACCTGTCCTCCCTGGCACACCCGTCCCTCCCCTGTACACACTCCTTCCCTCCCCGGTACACACTCCGTCCCCTCCCGGCACACATTCCGTCACCCCCGGTACACACTCCCTCCTCCCCTGGTACACACTCCCTCTCTCCCCTGTACACACCCCCTGCTCTCCGGCACACACCGTCCCTCCGGTACACACTCCTTCCCTCCCTGGTACACACTCCTTCCCTCCCCGGTACACATTCCGTCCCTCCCGGTACACACTCCCTCCTTCCCCGGTACACACTCCCTCTCCCCGGTACACACTTCTTCCTCCCTGGTACACATTCCGTCACCCCCCAGCACACACTCCTTCCCTCCCTGGTACACTCCCTCCTCCCTGGTACACATTCCGTCCCTCCCCAGCACACACCTCTTCCCTCCCCGGCACACTCTCCCTCCCCGGCACATTCCGTCACTCCCCAGTACACACTCCTTCCCTCCCCGGTACACATTCCGTCCCTCCCGGTACACTCCTCCCTCTCAGGTGCACACACCCTCCCTCCACGGTACACACTAACCTTTCCCGGCACACCGTCCCTCCCCTGCCACACCCTCCCTCCCCCGGTACATCTTCCCTCCATCCCCGGTACACCTTCCTCCCGGTACACACTCCCTCCCTCCCCGGTATACCTTTCCTCTCCGGTACACACTCCGTCCCTCCCCGAACACACTTAATCATTTCCCGGTACACTGTCCTCCTCGGTACAAACTCCTTCCTGGTACACACTCCCATCCCGGTACACACTCATTCCTCTCCGGTACACTCCTCCTCCCCGGTACACCCCCTCGGTACACAATCCTCTCTCCCTGACACATCCTCCTTCCACACCCTCTGTCCACCTACCACCAAAATACCAGGCGATCATTACGACACGCCAAGCGATAGTTAACGATGGTTACAGTCGGTCCAATCACCGCTGCTTGAGTGAGTGGTTGTGGGTAATCACAACTCTCATCTGACTCAAGGGAAGGGGTAGGGTAGTCTATTTACCTACCTACCTTACCCACCCACCCACCCACCTTACCCACCTACCCACCCACCCACCTACCTACCTTCCTACCCACCTACCCACCTACCCACTTCCACCTACCCACCACCTTACCCACCCTTACCTACCTACCCACCCACCACCCTACCTACCCACCTACCCACCTTACCTACCTTACCTACCTTACCTCCATTCCTTAATGAGAACTCTGAACACTGAATTGACTAAAGTCAGGACCTGTAATACGTAATAAACTGACCTTAAACCTTGAGAAACCCACTACACGATTATTCACAGAAAGAAAATCCTTCCCAGACTTGGACCCCTGTACCTTGGTAATACAGTCCCCAAACGTGAACAAATAATAAATTCCTCGGAGTTATTGTTGATGAGAAACTTAACTGGAGAAACCACATACAAGCCATTCACAGTAAAGTCAATAAAAGTGCGGTATCATATCACACTCGACAGTCAATCACTCTCACAGACAATGAAATAAATCTATCATGATCTCGTTTACCAACACCTGATACATTGTCACACACTATGAAGGGCTCTGCTATACAAAACACAAATCCCTGGTTGCAGCACAAAAGAAAGCGGCATTGACACTACTTTGAAAAAAACAGATCACACACACAAAATTTGCTAAATTGAAAATGTTAAGAATCGAAGATATTAACACCTACTGCTGTGCCTTTGTTTACAAATCTATCAATCACTTGCTTGACAACAATTATTTCCAGTTCCGGAATAATCAGAGATACAACTTAAGGCACCCAGAGCTACTAAGATCACCTCCCATGTGCTCCTCTCAGTCCCAGACCTCCATAAAATATCATGGTGTGAAGGTGTGGAACAACTTACCCCCACACATCCAAACAAAGACTGCGCTCCCTTCCTTTAAATCATCTCTTAAAAAATATCTATTGTTTAAGTATTAAAATTTCTTGTAACACCTACTATATTTACAATACCTGCTTTTATTGTACCATCAAAACCGTTTTATCGGAAATTATCATGTAAATATATAAGAAATTGCCATTGCAATAAACATAATTGCCAACTAGACATAATCCTGACAGCTCTGTCCTCTTGTTCCACCTTATTACTGTACAACCCATGTTGTACTGCTCCCCCATTATACTTATGTTTTTCAATTCCACTGTAATTGATGTATATACTTGTAATAAAAATAAAAATAATGAATAAAGAATAATAAATAAATAAAATAAATAAATATATAAGTGATAACTGTGGTAACATTATGAGTTGTTCTTATTACCACCATGCTATTGTACTATTCCAGATGATACTAAATGTTACATAATACTTCCTTGAGATAAATGTATAGTATATATCAGGTGCCTAAAAGAGAGCTCAGGTTCTCAACTGGCTCAGCCATGTTAATATTGTTATTATTATCCACTTGTATCTGTGTTTTTCTGGCTAAATAAACTGTTTCAATTCAATTAAATCTCACCTGCCTTACCCACCCACTCCACCTACCCACCTTACCCACCTTACCCACCTTACCCACCCACCTTACCCTACCCACTCCACCCACCCACCCACCTACCTTACCTACCCCACCCACTCCACCTACCTTACCCACCAATCTACCTACCTAATCTAACCACTTACCTACCCAACCTACCTACCTAACCCAACCTAACCTAACCTACCTACCTTACCTACCCACACCCACCTAACCTACCTACCTAACCTAACCTAACCTAACCTAACCTAACCTAACCTACCTACGACGACTCAGGTCACGGGGCACCCATGCCAGAGATGAGGACTATCTACAATGCTTTTATTCTCCCAAATTAACGTATGCGTCACCAGCCTGGTCGTCTTCTCTCAACTCTACCCAACAACGTCAGCTAGAGAAGGTACAGAAAAGGGCCTGCAGAATTATGCGCGGCACAGACTACTCTGGCTACAACAACGCTCTTTCCACCCTGGAAATGCCATCCCTCAGTGATCTCCACCACCAAGCACTAGCAAGGTTTGGCAGTGGACTACTGCACCATCCTCGCCATCGCCACCTCCTGCCACCGGTAGTCCTCCGGCCACCTCGCGCAGTCCGCCACTAGAACAAAATTCAGCCCATAAGAGCCCGCACTGATAGATATAAGAGCAGCACCATCCCATCTATTGTAAAATAAAAACAACTCCTGATTTATGTACTGAACAGCCTGTAAATGTATTGAACGCATATCATTATGTCTAAATCACATGCAAGTTTATATTTTCAGCCACCGGCTGAGCTCTATATTAACCGTTTATATTATTATTATTATTATTATTATTATTATTATTATTATTATTATTATTATTATTATTATTATTATTATCATTATTATTATTACCTACCTACCTACCTTTTTATATTCAGCATTTTACCCCTTTTTCATCGCGTCACCTAACCTAACGTAACCTCGATCAGGTGTTCAGGGGCCGCTGTTCAGGGGGTCAGCTGTTCTGAGAATCAGCTGTTCATGGGATCAGCTATTCAGCGGGTCACCTGTTAAGGGGGTCAGCTGTACAACGGGTCAGCTGTTCAGGGGATCAGATGTTGATGGGGTCAGCTGTTCAGGGTTCAACTATTGATGGGGTCAGTTGTCAAGGAGGTCAGCTGTTGATGGGGTCAGCTGTTCAAGGAGTCAGCTGTTGATTGGATCAGCTGTTCAGGGGGTCAGCTGTTGATAGGGGCAGTTGCTCAGGGGGTCAGCTGTTCATCGGTTCAAGAGGAATAGCTCGCTTCCTTGTTATCGTTCAGATCAATATTCATCGAACCTATGGAGGCCACAGTGACCCATGATGGTGGCCACAGTGACCCATAATGGTGGCCACAGTGTCCTATGATGGTGGCCACAGTCTCCTCTAATGGTGGCCACAGTGATCCATGATGGTGGCCACCGTGTCCCATGATGGAGGCCACAGTGACCCATGATGGTGGCCTACAGTATCATGATGGTGGCCACAGTGTCCTATGATGGAGGCCACAGTGACCCATGATGGTGGCCACAGTGTCCTATGATTGGCCACAGTGACCCATGATGGTGGCCACAGTGTCCCATGATGGAGGCCACAGTGACCCATGATGGTGGCCACAGTGTCCCATGATGGAGGCCACAGTGACCCAAGATGGTGGCCACAGTGTCCCATGATGGAGGCCACTGTGACCCATGATGGTGGCCACAGTGTCCCATGATGGAGGCCACAGTGACCCATGATGGTGGCCACAGTGTCCCATGATGGAGGCCACAGTGACCCATGATGGTGACCACAGTGTCTCATGATGGTGGCCACAGTGTATCATGATGGTGGCCACAGTGTCCTATGATGGAGGCCACAGTGACCCATGATGGTGGCCACAGTGTCCTATGATTGTGGCCACAGTGACCCATGATGGTGGCCACAGTGTCCCATGATGGAGGCCACAGTGACCCATGATGGTGGCCACAGTGACCCATAATGGTGGCCACAGTGTCCTATGATGGTGGCCACAGTCTCCTCTAATGGTGGCCACAGTGATTCATGATGGTGGCCACCGTGTCCCATGATGGAGGCCACAGTGACCCATGATGGTGGCCACAGTGTATCATGATGGTGGCCACAGTGTCCTATGATGGAGGCCACAGTGACCCATGATGGTGGCCACAGTGTCCTATGAATGTGGCCACAGTGACCCATGATGGTGGCCACAGTGTCCCATGATGGAGGCCACAGTGACCCATGATGGTGGCCACAGTGTCCCATGATGGAGGCCACAGTGACCCATGATGGTGACCACAGTGTCTCCATGATGGTGGCCACAGTGTATCATGATGGTGGCCACAGTGTCCTATGATGGAGGCCAGTGACCCATGATGGTGGCCACAGTGTCTATGATTGTGCACAGTGACCATGATGGTGGCCACATGTGTCCCATGATGGAGGCCACAGTGACCCATGATGGTGGCCACAGTGACCCATGATGGTGGCCACAGTGTCCCATGATGGAGGCCACAGTGACCGAAGATGCAGGCCACAGTGTCCCATGATGGAGGCCACAGACCCATGATGGTGGCCACAGTGTCCATGATGGAGGCCACAGTGACTGATGATGGCCACAGTGTCCCATGATGGAGCCACAGTGACCAAGATGGTGGCCACAGTGTCCCATGATGGAGGCCACGACCATGATGGTGCCTACAGTGTCCCATGATGGAGGCCACAGTGACTCCATGATGGTGGCCACAGTGTCCCATGATGGAGGCCACAGTGACCCATGATGGTGACCACAGTGTCTCATGATGGTGGCCACAGTGTATCATGAGTGGCCAGAGTCCCATGATGGAGGCCACAGTGACCTATGATGGTGGCCACAGTGTCCTATGATGGGCCACAGTGACCATGATGGTGGCCACAGTGTCCCATGATGGAGCCACAGTGACCCATGATGGTGGCCACAGTGACCATAATGGTGGCCACAGTGTCTCTATGATGGTGGCCACAGTCTCTAATGGTGGCCACAGTGATTCATGATGGTGGCCACCGTGTCCCATGATGGAGGCCACAGTGACCATGATGGTGGCCACAGTGTATCATGATGGTGGCCACAGTGTCCTATGATGAGCCACAGTGACCATGATGGTGGCCACAGTGTCCATGAATGTGGCCACAGTGACCCATGATGGTGGGCCACAGTGCCCCATGATGGAGGCCACAGTGACCTCATGATGGTGGCCACAGTGTCCATGATGGAGGCCACAGTGACCCATGATGGTGACCACAGGTGATGGCCACAGTGTATCATGATGGTGGCCACAGTGTCCTATGATGGAGGCCACAGTGACCCATGAGTGGCCACAGTGTCCTATGAAGTGGCCACAGTGACCCATGATGGTGGCCACAGTGTCCCAGATGGAGGCCAGTGACCCATGATGGCCAGTGACCCATGATGGGCCACAGTGTCCCATGATGGAGGCCACAGTGACCCAAGACAGGCCACAGTGTCCATGATGGAGGCCACTGTGACCCATGATGGTACAGTGTCCATGATGGAGGCCACAGGACCATGATGGTGGCAACACCCATGATGGAGGCCACAGTGATCCATGATGGTGGCCACAGTGTCTCATGATGGTGGCCACAGCAATGATGGTGGCCAGTTCCCATGATGGTGGGCCACAGTGTCCCATGATGGAGGCCACAGGACCCATGAGAGGCCACAGTGTCCCATGATGAGGCCACAGTGGTCTGATGATGAGGCCACAGTGTCCTATGAAGGCCACAGTGTCCATGATGTGGCCACAGTCTCCTCTGATGGTGGCCACAGTGATCCATGATGGTGGCCACTGTGTCCCATGATGGAGGCCACAGTGACCCATGATGGTGGCCACAGTGTATCATGATGGTGGCCACAGTGTCCTATGATGGAGGCCAGTGACCCATGATGGTGGCCACAGTGTCCTATGATGTGGCCACAGTGTCTCATGATGGTGGCCACAGGGTCTCTGGTGGCCCAGGATCCATGATGGTGGCCACAGTGACCCATGATGGTGCCACAGGTCTCATGATGGTGGGCCACAGTGTCCTATGATGGTGTCCACAGTGTCCTATGATGGTGGCAGTGGCCTATGATGGTGGCCACAGTGTGTGTGTGTGTGTGTTTGTATGGTGTGATGTGTGTGGGTGTGGTGTGTGTGTGTGCGGTATGGTGATGCTGTGTGGTGTGTGTATGTATGGTGTGGTGTGTGTGTGTGTGGTGTTGTGTGTGTGTGTGTATGTGTGTGTGTGTGTGTGTGTGTGTGGTTTGGTGTGGTGTGGTGTGTGTGTGCGGTATGGTGCGGTATGGTAATAATAATAATAATAATAATAATAATAATAATAATTAACGGTTTATTGAAAGAGCTTGGCAGCCAGAAGGCTGAAAACATACAGTTACATATTTGGGGAATGGGTTTCGAATTACAAATAATATACAAGTAACATAAGTGATACAAATAAGATATATAATAACTAGATGGGGAAAAGCTCAAACTACAGTGCATGAATACACTGGTTTTGTACAAGTAATTGATAATTTTGCAATGGTTGGGACTGGGCTGTTCTTATAGCGATCGGATTCGTGCACGTATGGGCTGGATGCGGTTTAGTGTCTAACAGCAATTCTCCGGGCTAGGGATCTCAGGTGGTAGTAGGAGCCGGTGTCGAGGATGGTGTAGAAGCTTCTTACCAAATTTGCAGATGAGGTTGTGGTGATGGTCAGTGAGAGTCGAAAGGGTCAGTGTGTTGAGCGCTTCTTAATATGTGGAGTAGGAAGGGGAGAGAATAATCTTGCATGCCCTCTTTTGCACTTTTTCTAGGTGTTTACGTTGTGTGGCATTTAGGGAGGAAGACCAGGTGGGGGAGGCATAGGTGAGCTTGGGAAATATGAATGTTGTGTAAACACTGAGGAGCTCGGGTGCAGGAACTCTCGAGGGACTTGAGTCGGCGGAGGAAGTGGAGACGGAAACTGGAGGATTTGACAACTTCACTGACGTGTGGTTTCCAATTTAGTTTGTTGTCTATGGTGACGCCGAGGAGCTTCGTGGAATCTACAACCTGGAGTGTGTTCGGACCTAAAGTAATGGAAGGAGGTGGGACAATGTCGGAGGAGAGGTTGATGTGCATAACCATGGTCTTGGTATGGTTGATTGTGACATGGTTGTTGGTGGCCCAGTTTTGGAGACTGCTCAATAAATCCTGAAGGGCGGTATAGTCGGGAGCAGAATTGTTGACGCTGATCCCAATGGTGAAGTCGTCGACATATTTCCAGCGAGCAGGGGTTTCTCTTAGGGCATCATTGATGAGCATAAGGAAGCAGAGTGGTCCCATCTTGGTGCCTTGGGGGACGCCACAGGCGAGTGACTGAAAGGTGGAGGCAGCCCCTCGGAAGCGTACAGCTTGGCGTCGGTAACTGAGGAAGTCTGTAAGCCATGGTATAAGACTTCTCCGAAGCCCGAGGTCAATACCTTTGTTGATGATTATATTGTGGTCGACTAGGTCGAATGCTTTAGTGAAATCAATGAAGGCGACAGCTACAGACGTTTCTCGTTTCTCGAGATGGCGGTATATGTAATCGAGAAAGCTGACAAGACAGTGAGTGGTGGAGGAAGTTTTCATATTGCCAAATTGCTGAGGGTCTACGACTCCTGCAATATCAGCATAAGCCAAGTCGAGCACAAAACTTTCACAGATTAGGCTGGGTATTGGGGTGATTGCAATAGGTCGTAGCTGATTTAAGGATTGTGGGCTGGTTGACTTGGGCACTGGTGATACATAAGAGGTCTTCCAGTCAGCTGGGCATCTAGCTTGACTGAGAGAAGCATTGATGATGGAGCATTGGGGTTTAGCAAGCTCCGGGGAGAACTCCTTGAAGAATTTCATTGGTAAGTCAATGGGGGTGGAAGAGCGTTTTAATTTTAGTTTGTCCAGGCGTTTTGATACTTCACATTCTTCTACTAAGTCAGTGGGAAGGGGGGCTGGTAATTAAGCAGAGTGGTTTGTGTGTGTGTGTGTGTGTGTGTGTGTGTGTGTGTGTGTGTGTGTGTGTGCGCATTTGTGGTGTGTGTGTGTGTGTGTGCGTGGTGTGGTGTGTGTGTGTGTGTGTGTGTGCGTGGTGTGGTGTGTGTGTGTGTGTGTGTGTGTGTGTGTGTGTGTGTGTGTGATGGTTATCTCCCATACCTCACCTCCCTGGGTCTCGGTCTACCAGTTATCAATAATACCTATCGCTTCTTATCGCTTCCTATCGCTACCTATCGCTGGTGACCTCGCGGTGGGGGAGGTGAAGGGCACGCGACGACATGTGGAGAGGTGTATGACCTTATCATGACCACGGACCTGGGACCTGTGTGAGGAGGGACGGGGTGGTGACCTGGTACCTGTGTGAGGAGGGACGGGGTGCTGACCTGGGACCTGTGTGTTGTGTATTTTGTAAAAAGAAATTAAAAATAGAAGAGAAAAAGGTCATATTAATGTACACCACGAAGATGCCGGTAAACCATCTTTTTGAAGTGAGACAGATTGTATGAGTATGGAAACACAGAAGAAGGCAGAGCATTCCATAGTTTGGCTGTGTGAGGAAAGAAGGATGTACTATAACGTGTGTTACGAGCCTACGGCCTTGCCGGCGGTACACAGGATGCCAAATCCACCGAACATTGCCCGTTGAAGTACCTGTAAAAGAGAGAGTGAAGCAACATTGCCTCGAAGAGAAAGGAAAGAAAGATTATCAACTAAAGGAGGAGAGTTAATAAGACGAAATGCCTTTGAGTCCACCCTATCTAACAGTTGGACAGAAGAAGAGCCACCCCAGATATGAGAGCAGTACTCCAAGTTAGGATGAATGAATCTCTTATATACTTGAAGCAACTGCTCAGAAGTGAAGTAGCTACGGCATCTGTACAGCATTCCCAACTTTCGGGAGGCAGCTTTAGCAATGTTGATGGTGTGTGGCTTCCATGACATATTAGAGGAAATGGTGAGGCCTAGCATATCTGTTTGGCAGAATAATTGCGTCCTGAAATGTGATTGGTGGGAGATCATCTTATTTGGAAAGTGTAATTGGTAAATACTGAGTTTTATTACTATTAATTTTAACCAATTAAGTTTCTACCTTCCCATTCGGAGATGCTGCACAGATCCGTATTGATAGAAGTAATGATATCAGCTCTAGAAACAGATCTAGTTTGAGAATTAGGGGGAAGGGGGAAATGTGAAGAAGAGTGAAAAGTAGAATCATCAGCGTAAGAATGGATAGAATTAGTTGTAGTTTGAAGTAAATCATTGATAAAAAGAAGAAAGAGAGTAGGTGAAAGAACAGAACCCTGTGGGACACCACTATTGGCAGAGAAAGAGCGAGAGATCGATCCCTCGACAACAACTGTCATGGATCGGTTTTCAGGGAAGCTAGAAATTAGAGAACAAAATGGGGGAGAGAAACCATAAGAGGGAAGTTAAGATAGCAAAGACTTGTGCCATACCCTGTGAGGAGGGATGTAGTGGTGACCTGGGACCTGTGTGAGGAGGGACGGGGTGGTGACCTGGGACCTGTGTGAGGAGGGATGTAGTGGTTACCTGGGACCTGTATGAGGAGGCGATGACTTAACCCCTGGAGTAGGATAATTAGATGCCCCTCGTTCTACCCTTAATACCCCTTATCCAGCCCTACACCCCTTAGGAGCCCCTTACATAACACCCCTTACATCACCTACACACACACACACACACACACACACACACACACACACATCTCTCTCTTATGCTCCTAGACTTCCCTTAGGCTGATTAAGGGCTATGGAGAGGGTTTTGTATTTACCTTAAGGGCCTTAGGGGTGGGTAGGGCTATCACAGTACGTCAAGGCAGGTATTAGATTTGGATAAGAGGCCCTTTACTCACGTTCATCTAACCTAACCTAACCCACCACGGTAAGATCTAGAAAAACCCTATTACCGAACCCTTGAATCTTCTGAACCTTCTGAATCCACGAATCTGTGAACCCGTGAACTCTTGAACCACGAACCTCTGAACTGTCCGAACCCCAAAACCTCAAAATCTCTCAACCATGTGAACCCCCGAACCCCAAAACCGCCTGAACCTTCTGAGACCTTAACCTTTAAACCCCTGAGCCTCTGAAACCTTGAACCGCAAAACTCTGGACCATCTGAACCCCTGAACCCATAAATATTTGAAACCCTGAACCCCAGAACCCCTGAACCTCTGAACCCCGAAACCTTGAACCTCTGAACCTTTAAGTGATTACAGCTAATGAACCACCAGAACCCTCAATACTGTAGTGTTATTAATTACACACAATAATAACACACTGTAGAGTCATTACCTACAGCCCAACGTTAATTAATATCTATAATAAACTAACCTGTTAATGACCCTATAAGTCTTTACCCATATTCCCTCACTAATTACGTCCATTAATTAGCTAACTGCAGGTGTAAATACAGTCCTAAGATTAATTAGCGTCAATCATTACTTCACCTTTAATGACCCACATCTTACACATTACTAATGACTTCCATTATTTACCTCACACTTAAGATATTAGATACCGTGTGTGTGTGTGTGTGTGTGTGTGTGTGTGTGTGTGTGTGTGTGTGTGTGTGTGTGTGTGTGTGTGGTATTGTAAGGCACCTTGTTTAACCAACAACTTTATCAAGGATTTATTGGACATCGGTGGAGGAGAGAACAAAGACCTCACAGCCGCTCAACCTAACTAACGTCCTCCTTAAAGAAAGACTTATCACACACAAACACACACACACGCACACACGAACACACACACCTACCTACCTACAATCGTAACTACCAAGGCCATGGTTATGCACATCAACCTCTCCTCTGACCTCGTCCCATCTCCCTCCATTACTTTGGGTCCCAACACACTCCAGGTTGTGGGCTCCACCAAGCTCCTCGGCGTCACTATAGATAACAAACTAAATTGGAAAACACACGTCAAAAAAGTTGTTACACCTTACAGTTTTTGTCTCCACCTCCTCCTTCGACTCAAGTCCCTCGGAGTT